ACAAAAAGATGCCCCTCCAGGCAGGCAAATTGCCAAAAGGGCACCTTGTCCTTCAGCCTGGAGCCTGGGCCCAGGGCTTGGCAAGCAGACCTTGGTCTGTATTTCAGCTGCCACCTGGGGCTGGGTACTTCCATGCATTGTACAAGCTGTACAACTGCACACAGCAACCCTGCAAAAAGATTTTCAGCTAAGAGATAAATTCCCCAGGATAGAGCAAGCCTAAAAAGATAGAGCTTAGTGACTATGCAAAAATATATAGTTTTTAAGTTCATTGTCTCCTTGGACCCTAGCTTCGGCATTATTTATAAAAGTCTAAAAAACTAAGACTTAAAAATAGGGTAACACAGAGAAAGTCTCCTACTCTTGTGCCAGGTGTATAACTGCATTGTTACTTTGCTTCCAGAGTTTTGACGTTCGTTTTCCTCCTAGGACTATGGGCTGCGTGGCTTCTTCCAAGGAGGTGTCCCCCGGGCCCTCCGCAGAACTCTGATGGCAGCCATGGCGTGGACAGTCTACGAAGAGATGATGGCCAAGATGGGCCTGAAGTCCTGACTGAGAGGGGACTGCAAAAAGATGGGATCTGTTGCCCTGCCTGCTTTCTGCCATGGGCTGCCTCCTCTCACCATCCTGGAGTAAGATGAAGTCCTCTCTGGAAAGCTAGGCAGATACGTCACCTTCGGCTACCCAACTCAAGTAGAGAATAGATGGGCCTGACTCAAGCCCTCGGAATCTCCCCAAAGAGGAGTCACTGATACACGCAGCCCTTTGGGGAGTCAGGAGAAGGCTTTGCGTACCCTGCAAGCCTACTTGAAAAGGCATTTCCGGAGAGAGCTCTGCCAGGTGGCTCCACCTCAGCCACCCGTCTACACCATGGTGCCTCTTTGGATGTGTTCTTGGGCAAGGCATCACAAAGCCAGAAAGGCAGTGTGCCTCGCGCTGTGGCCGAGGAGCTCCAGCAGGGGAGGTGGGGTCTTCAGAGAGAGGAGTCACTGTCACCAGGCTGAAGTCTGCGTCTGAGGGGATGTTAGGATGAGGAAGAAAAGGTTCCTAATCACCTTCCCAGAGACTCTGGAGAAGAGGGGACAGTGGCTTCCTAGCCTCTTAAGTGTCCAAATTAAACTTTTTCATCTTGGCTCCTGTACTGTTTCAACTCTAAGTTGTTCTGGCATTTTTGTGCAGCTGAAGTTCAGATAAATAAAATGAAGCACTTTATCACTGAAGACTTTGGCATACCTAGCGTCATCACTCTGTCCTGAAATAATAAAATAGTCTTAAGTTGGCTGGTTCTTGACCTATGTGGATTCTAAAACCTAAAAATTTTTTAAACAGCTTTATTTTATATATCATACAATTCACCAATTTCAAATATATGATTCAGTGATTTTCAGAAACTTTACACAGTGGTACAACCGTCACTCTAAATCAGTTTAGAACACATTCATCCCCAAGCAGGTCTCTTATTCACAATTAATCCTTGTTCTGAGCCCCAGCCAGCCACTGATCTGCTTTCTGACTCTATAGATTGGCCTTTTCTGTACATTTCATATAAATGGAATCATAAAATATGTAGTCTCTTGTTCTGGTTTCTTTGGCATAAAGTTTTTGAGGTTCATCCATGATGTGGCATGTTCAACACTTTGCCCTTTTTATTTTATGGTTGAATAATATTCCATTGTATGCCTATACTATATTTTATTTACCCATTCATCAATTGAGGAATATTTGAATTGTTTTCACTTTTTAAAATTATTTTTTAAAATTCTTATTTTTTTTTTTTTGAGGAAGATTAGCCCTGAGCTAACTGCTACCAATCCTTCTCTTTTTGCTGAGGAAGACTGGCCCTGAGCTCACATCCATGCCCATCTTCCTCTGCTTTCTATGTGGGCCGCCCACCACAGCATGGTGTGGCAAGCAGTGCCACGTCCACACCCGGGATCTGAACCGGCGAACCCCAGGCCGCCGAAGTGGAACATGCACACTTAACCACTGCACCACTGGGCCGGCCCGTATTATTATTTTTGAATAATGCCACTATGAACCTTCACAAGTGTTTTGGGGACATATATTTTCATTTCTTTTGCATATATGTCTAGAGTGGAGTTCCTGGATCACGGGGTGACTATGTTTAACCACTCAAGAAACTACCAGACTATTTTCCAAAGTGGCTGCACCATTTACATTCCCACCAGCAGGATATGAGGGTTCCGATTTGCCCACATCTTCCTCAACACTTGTTATTGTCTGTTTTATTTATTATAGGCATTCTTATAGGCATTCTAGTGGGAACCCAAGTTTTTCTATCAATTTTCATACTTAGGAGAGGGCTGTTAGTTCATCCAAACAGCAGAAGGGGCAAGTCTGGCCTCCTGGTTAAGAACATGGGCTGTGACCCAGGGGGCCCAGGTTGAAAGCCTGGCTCTCTCCACTTCCTCAGACACTTTTGAAACTGGGCTTGGGAAATGAGGTTAGTAACATTTCCTCCCTCCTGGGGGTGGGTGGTAGGGTTAAATGAGCAAATGTTTCTGGCACATTTTCTTGGTGTCCTAGGGCTGCCACAGCAAACTCCCACACGCTGGGTGGCTTCTGACAACAGAAGTTTATTCTCTCACTGTTCTGGAGCCTACAAGTCTGAAATGAAGGTGTCGGCAGGGCCACGCTCTCTTGGAAGTCTCTACGGGAAGATGTTCCCTGTCTCTTCCAGCTTCTGGTGCTTGCTGGCGATTCTTGGCAGTCATCACTCCAGTCTCTGCTTCTGCCTTCACAATGCCTTCTCCCCCGTGTGTCTGTCTCTCTATGTCCAAATTTTTGTCTTCTGTTAAGGACACCAGTCATTGGTTTAGGGCCCATCTTACTCCAGAATGACCTCGTCTTAACATGATTACATCTGCAAAGATCTCTGTTTCCAAATAAGGTCCCATTCATAGCAACTGGGGGTTAGGAATCCAACATACCTTTTTGGGGGACACAAGTCAACCTATAACATACATATTAAGTTTAATGATTTATAAGTTTGAGTTAAGTTTATACTTTAGGTTTTAGGTTAAAATGCCCTATTCAAGATGATATGGGGAGGAGTATGGGAGAAGACAAAGGATCCTAATCTCATAGTGACACCTAAGCCACTGGTGCTTGGTGACCTGTGCGTGAGGCCTTGTGCTGGAAAAGCAGGAAAGTGCTGAGCACTGGGAATGGTGCTGGGCCAGGAATGAGGGAAGGCAGTTTACACAGACAATGGATGGAGTGGCTGCATCCTAAGAACTTAGACTCTGAGGCAGGGTGTCAGGTCCTTTCCCACGACCTCTTCAGTCTCCTTTGACCCTCATTTTGGGCAGTGGGAGCCTAGCGCTGGTGAGGGCCCTGCAAGGGGGCAGAGATGAGGCCCAGAAGCATAGGCTTCATCCCAATGCAGATCTGCTCACCTTATACTTGGCTGGTGAATTTAGGCCACTTAGAGACCCCTTCTGTGCTCCTCATTTGTTGTTCTGGGGGCAAATAATCACAAGATTTGGAGAAATAGCTAATTTTCTCTAAACATGGGGTAAAATTGAAATTTGCCTTTGTGAATCCTGACTGCAGAGGCTAGTGACCCCGGGGTCTGCATATGCCAGGTCCCCAGGCCCTGTTTCTTCCTCTCCTGCGGTCTCCCACGAGTATTATTACAGTTCAGAAGGAAGTGGCTAGTGAGCTGCAGCTGGCTTTGGGAACATTGCCCAGTGTCCTTTTTTTTGATTGATTTGTTTTGGCTGCCTCAGACTTAAAGCAAATTATTCAGAGGCTGGGCTTTGTGGGAGGAAACAGTCATCTGGGGACTAGAGATAAGGCTCAGGAAAGCAGGAACCAAAGGAGGACAGAAGCAAAGCTTTGAAGCTGCTATCACAGTCAATTTCCAAAAATATATCATGAAGCTTTTCAAACAATCACGAGAGTACAGCAAATGGTGCACTGGCCCTTCATTCACATCCTCCAGGTGGAACAATTATCAGGATTTTGTCACTCTTGCTTGTCTTTCCTCTCCCCCGCCCCTCCTTTTTTCTTTCCTTGACGAAGCTTTTGAAAGCAGATCCCAGACATCACACCATTTCACCCTTCTAGACTTCAATATGCATCTCCAAAAATTATGGACATTTCTCTTACATAACTACAGTGTTATCCCACCAGAAAAAAGTTAAATTTTTTGCATATCATCCAATACGGAGCCCATAGTCACATTTACCTGATTGTCTCAAAAAAGATTTTTTACAGTCGGTTTATTTGAATCAGGATTCCAACGAGGTCCTGAGATTCTTTCATCAGCTGTTCGAAAGGGTAAGTCTGAGGCAAACCACGATTGGAGTGAGTCAGTTCCTGAGGGCCCAATCAACTCGGGGAACCCAGCAATAATGACTGCGGGGTTGGGGGGTTGAAAAGCTGAAGTCTGCTCACTAAGGCAATGTCCCTTCCACGGCCCCCCAGGCTGAGTCGTGTACATTTCTAACTTCTCGCTGACTTCAAATTCTCAAATCTTAGCCTTTGTCACTACGCCCTCTCCAAAAAAAGCTGGCTCAATGCAACAGCCTCCAGGTGTTACTTCAGAGTCCAAGTTCTTCCCGCTCCTTGGGAACCACCGGCTTGGGTAGCTAATAAACACTGTGGAGTCTAAGATCAGTGGTTCTGAAACTTGGGTGCACACCGTTATCATCTGGAGAGCTTTAAAAACTACTAATGCCTGGGTCTGCCGCCCAGAGATTCTAATCAGCCTAGATTGCGGCCCGGGCACTAGGAGTTTTTAAAGATCCCCAGGTGATGCTAACACGCAGGCAAGGCAGAGAACCACGGAGGAGCCCTCCAGAGCCACTTTCACCCCTCAGCTCTCCCAAGCCGGCCTCCCACGGTTAAGCAGGAGCTCTTTCTGCGGGCGGGGAGAGCACAAGCCCCGGGCTGCGGCGGGGGCGGGACCGCGAGCGTGGAGGCTCGGATACGGGGCGTGGCTCCGCGGCGGGGGCGGGGCCCGCGGGGACGAAAGGCGGGAGCAGCCTGGCGCGGCAGCTCGCCGGCCCCAGACCAGCGGAAACGCCTCCGTTTTTCAAAACAAAGAGGAGAGGCGGGAGGCGTGTGCGGTGCGCAGGGCTGAGACTTCCTCGGGTTGGTCCCTCAGGCACGAACGCTTCAGCATCTTTGGGTGACAATGGAGGGAAGCATGGGGGGCGGCCGGCGCTCGGGGTCCGATGGCCTCCGGTGGCCTTCGAAGACCATGCCGGCCATGGAGGAGCTGCAGAGCCGCTTGCAGGAGACCCTGGACCTGCTGTCCCCGCAAGAGCTGCGCAGCTTCCGTCGCATCCTCAAGACGGTGGACGAGGAGCCGCGCGTGAGCCCGCTGCAGCTGGAGCTGGAGGGCGGCAGCGCGTCGGGGCTGGCCAGCCTGCTCGCCAAGCACTACTACCTGCCGGCCGCGCCGCGCGTCCTCGCCAAGGTGCTGCAGCAGCTGCGCCGCGCCGACCTGCTGGCCCGCTGGCAGAATGCCGCCGCCGCCGCGGACGACTACGGCCCGGGTGAGCGCGGGGACTGCCCTCCCGCCCGGGGATTCCCGGCCTTGGGGGGGGGCATGGGGGGGGTTGGGTGAGCGCGGGGTTCGGCCCTTCCTCCCCGGGGATCCAGGACAGCCCCGCGCCCAGGTTGGCGGCGGGGGACCGGCCTTGGATGGGGGAGGGGTAGAGGAGCAAAGAGGGTGCGGGCGTCCGGGGATCGAGAAAACGCGCTGCGGGAGGTGGGAGCCCAGGGGTAAGTGGGCAGGAGAGTCACCTTCCCAGGCACGGAATCCCAGTGACCAGTTAAAGAGTAGCCATCAGGGTCTACCAGTTCATTTTGGGGTCGGCTCGGAAATCAGACTGACTTAGCAGGCCTGGGATACATTTTTAACGAGTAGCTCCAAGTGATTGTGATGTGGGAGGTTTTTAGACGAGGCAGAGAGAAACGGAGTGTTAGAATCCCCACGGCCACATCTTCAGTGGGTGTGTTTATGGGGCGGGGGTCCCTCTTCTTGCACGCCTTTAGACCATTTGCCATAAATCTGGGAAGTTGTGGTTTATGATAAAGAAATGTAGTATGTAACAGGATGGGGGAGGTTGGGGCTTTCCCCGCGAAATTTAACGTGTGTGTGAGAGAGAGAAAGAGCGCGAGAGCGAGCAGCCCTTGTATGCAAGGCGTTGAGGTGGACGCTAAAAGGTGCCATCGCTGCTCTCTGACCTCAGCATGCTTATGATCTGGTTGAGTTTTGAGGTCTGTTGCTGATTTTTCCTAAGATTTGTAATGGATGACAACTGTAGTCGCCCACAGAACATGACCTGTAGGCAGAACACGGCCCCATGGAGACTGCACCTGTGCAACACTGATCACCTTGTCCCTCGGGACTTCCTTGTTTATGGATCACTCTTTTAATCACCCCTTTAGATTGAGTCTCTTGCTGTTGGCAAAGTGGTTTTCTTTCCCAGAATCATCCAAACTACACAATATGGTTGCACAGTGTAGGTACCCAGTAAGTACTTGCATTGAATGCTGAGAGACAAGGTTAAATGAAATAAGATAGGGTGTGGTCTTTTACTCCGCCTTTCCCTTTATTGTCGTCTTGGTCTCGTCTTCAGGAAGTGCAGGTGCAGTAATGTTAATTAGCCCTGGTCTTTTTCCTCCCTGGCCTGGGTCTTTCTGCCCTTGAACCTGACTGGGATCTAAGAGAGTTCTGTTTAAAGTTTCCAGCCTCATGAGTTTGAGAGAGGGTGTTCATAATCCAAGAAACCTGGTCTAAAAGGAGATTGAAGCCTACCGGATCCAAAAACATAAGAGACAACTGAGTTCCTTAGGAGGAGCTTCCTGTTAACAGGAACAACAGCAGATCTTGATTAGAAAGAAAAAATGAAAAAAAAAAAATAATGTTCTTTTTCTGTTTTATTCTCTTTTCGTGAAAATTCATCCAGTGATTCCAAGAAAGGTTCCCAAGAGAAGCTATGATTGTGTGGATGGTGAATTGGTAAATATTTTCACTGTTTCTCCCACACTGTACACTGGTTAGTAAAGAGAACGTTTAGCCACCGTTTGAACTTTTTTTGTGCTGCTCCTCTTCCGGTTAAAGGGGACTATCTGTGTGGTTGTCTCCAGTGGTCAGATCGTTATAATAGGAAAAGGTGACAATCACCAGTTAAAACCACTGCATGCATTAACCAAACTGAGGTATGCAGTGGTATCACCTCCAATTTACAAGTCAAAGGAGGTGAGGCACCGGAGGTTAAATGAAGATTCTATGGCCTTGGGCAACTACATAAATTGCTGGCTGCAGGGTACTTTTGGTTTTTTTAAAGTTTTAATTATGGAAATTTTAAACAAATACTAAAGTAGAATAGAAAAATGAATGTCTCAAACTCCAGCCCAGCTCTTATCACCCTGCTTCGACAATTAGCAACATGTGATCAGTCTTGTTTCCTCTGCTTTCCCCTCCCAGTTACTTTAAAGGACATCCACTTTCATCTACAAATATTTTTTTTTTTTTTTTTGGAGGAAGATTAGCCCTCAGCTAACTACTGCCAGTCCTCCTCTTTTTGCTGAGGAAGCCTGGCTCTGAGCTAACATCCGTGCCCATCTTCCTCTAGTTTCTAACATCCGTGCCCATCTTCCTCTAGTTTATACGTGGGACGCCTACCACAGCATGGCTGCCAAGCAGTGCCATGTCCGCACCCGGGATCCGAACCAGCGAACCCCGGGCCGCCGCAGAACGTGCGAACTTAACCGCTGCGCCACCGGGCCGGCCCCTCATCTACAAATATTTTAGTATATATCTCTGAGACCTTTTTCAAAATAGGACCACAAAAAGAAGTTCCTTAACCTTGGCAAAGATGCACTTAGTATTCAGATTTTCTTGGCTGGTTCCTTTGTCTTTTACAGTTGGTTTGTTTGAATCAGGATTCTGATTCAAACAAGGTCTACACAATGACATTTGATTAGTTCGTCTCTTAAGACTGAATTTATGGTACTTCTCCCTTCTTTAAACTTTTTCTTCTTTGTTTGTTGAAGAAACCAGGTTATTTGTCCTGTAGAATGTCCCACAGTCTGGATTTTGTTGACTGCAGCCTGTGTTGTCATTTACCATTTTCTTATCTCTCCGTATTTCCTTAAACCAGTAGTTATGGCTGCATATAGGAATTTAAAAACAGATTGGCCTAGAGGCCGGCCTGGTGGTGCAGCGGTAAAGTTCACACGTTCCACTTTGGTGGCCTGGGGTTCGCTGGTTCGGATCCCAGGTGTGGACATGGCACTGCTTGGCAAGCTGTGCTGTGGCAGGTGTCCCACATATAAAATAGAGGAAGATGGGTGTGGATGTTAGCTCAGGGCCAGTCTTCCTCAGCAAAAAGAGGAGGATTGGCAGCAGATGTTAGCTAATCTTCCTCAAAAAAAAAAAGAGATTGGCCTATTAGTCCTAGTCTGAGAAAGATATGTGAAAGGATGATAAATCAAGTCATGCCTCCCCTCACCCCACCTCCAGAACTGACTCAGAGAAGCAATCAGTGTGCCTCTGATCTGAACTGGAAAGCCTTTCCATTAATCCTAGAAAAAACTTGTTGTCTTATATATATAGGTTTGGATTTATATGTATATATATTTGGATTTCTGAGCCTGGTTTGGTTTAAATACTGTTTCTTGGCTTTCCTGGAAAACAGGACCGTTATGACCTGAGTGGCAGGCGGAAGGCCTTCCTCATGTGTGTGAAGAGGAACAGGCCCGGGGCTCAGCACGACGTCATGCTGATGAAGGAATGGCTTGGCCAGTGCCAGTTCGAACATACATCCTGCATCGATCCTGACAAAATGGTAACAAATTAAAAACAAAAATGAAAAATTGTAACTTGGATTTTATAACCTTCCTTCATCTTTTTTTTTTTTTTAAAAAATGGGGTTTTAGTCCCTGGCGAGAACCAGGACCTGCTGAGTAATGATATGTGTGTCCTGATGAAATTCTTGATGCTTTTGTAATCTTATGTGTGTGGTACCCCAGCTCCCCTTCCAGTCAAGCAGGGACCTCTTGGGGTCCAGTCTTGGCTGGGGCTGTGCAGTTGAAGAGGGAAGGAAACCCAAGATGGGATCCTCAGCAAGATGGGCAAGGAGACCCAAGGAAAAGCTGTGAGTCCGGAGTGGGCTAGGTCCAGAGCATTTGGGAGCAGGGGAGACCAAGGAAGCAGCTTTGAGAGGTCAGTAGGAGGCCAGGCCAGAGGGATTCCAGCAACTTCAGAGCCCAAGGATTTTGAGTCCTTGTGGGACTCGCTTGGAACTGTGGGAGGGGGTGGGGCTGAGAGCCCTGGTAGAACTGCATTGTGACTTAAGGAGATGACACAGAAAAAAATACAGTGAAAGAGTGGTGGCGGTTGGGTGGGAACTCCTTTTTGACCTCTTTGACCCTAGCTGAGCTGCAGCCCAGACCTGCTCTTATTTGGGGACAATAACATAGGAAAGCCCTTCATAGATCCTTTGAGTCACTGCTAATGAGGATCAAGGAAGGGCATAGCAGGACTTATGAATGCAGCATGGACTGCCAGAGTTGGAATCCTGTCTCTTACTGTTGTTACCTTAAATCTGGTTCTCAACCTAGGGTAATTTTGTCCCCCAGAGGACATTTGGCAATGTCTGGAGACGTTTTTGGTTGTCACAGCTGGAGGGTGCTGCTGGCACCTAGTGCATAGAAGCCAGGGATGCTGCTAAACATCCTAGAATGCCCAGGACAGCCCCTGCAGCAAAGAATTATCTCACCGCAAATGTCAGCAGTTCAATAGTTGTAGAAACCCTGCCTTAAATTGACTGCTTATCTCTGAAATGGCTGTGATGATAGTAACGGATCTTGCAGGGCTGTTGTGGGAATGAAATGAGCTGCTATGTGTAAAAGATCTCAGAATATTGGCTGACTTATAGTAAGTGCTCAGTAAAGTTAGATTTTATTAATATTTCAAAGCTAAAAATAGACTCCTTCATTTTTCCCAAGGATTGTACCAGAATCTCTTCCACATTACGTGATTTTTAATCCAGTCTTTTCTGTTCAGGTGGAAGATATTGCCAGTGTTCTTTTGGTTTATTCTCCCAAAGGTCCGGAAGTCACCTTTTTCTGTACATCTTGTCCACGTTTATTTGTATATATTTAGCGATCTTACTGGCAAAAGTATTTTGCTGTTTAAGTTTCATTTTGCGGATTATCGTCATGCTCTACGTAATGACATGTTGGTCAATGACAGACCGCATATGTAACAGTGGTCCTATAAGATTAGTACCATATAACCCAGGTGTGTCCTAGGCTGTACCATCTAGGTTTGTGTAAGTACACTCTGTGATGTTTGCACAACGATGAAATCACCTGATAATGCATTTCTCAGAATGCATCCTTGTCATTAAGCGATGCACGGCTATTAGTTTGGTTAAATATCTTTTGGTTATTTTTTTCCTTCTGTATAAATTACCCATTTGTATCCTTTGCCCTTTTTCCTACTGGATTTTCTTTTCCTTGTTCTTATTCTTTAGTTATGTTCCTGGACATTATTATTATTTTTTAAGATTGGCCCTGAGCTAACATCTGTTGCCAATCTTTTTTTTTTTTTCTCTTCTCCCCAAAGCCTCCTAGTACATAGTTGTATATTCTAGTTACAGGTCCTTCTAGTTCTGCTATGTGGGACATGGCTTGACAAGTGGTGCCACGTCTGTGCCCAGGATCCGAACTGGAGAAACCCTGGGCCGCCGAAGCGGAGCTCATGAACTTAACCACTCGGCCACGGGGCTGGCCCCCCTAGACATTATTTATTTACAAAATATACTGCAGATATTTTTTGTCTACCCTGTTACTTGCCTTTTGATTTTTTGTCGTCTTAAGTCATATCTAAGTCTTTTAATTTTTGCAGTAAACTTGTCAGTCTTTATATCGTCTTCTTGGTTTTTGTGTCTTGATTGAACCCCATGCCTTCCAAACTTTAAAATTTTTAAATTATTTTTCTGTAATATTGTTAGAGTTTAAGGTTTACTTTCTACTCTCTGTAATTTTTATTTTTGCAACAGTGTGAGATAGGAGGTCTGACTTTCTTTCCAAATGGACAGTCAGTCACCTCAACATTTATTGAGTGATGCATCCTTCCTCCCCATATATGAAATTTCACCTTTATCATGAATGAAATTCTTGTATATACTTGGATCAATTTCTGGCTTCTAAAATATTCCATTCATCTATTTGTTTGTACTTAGGCCCGTATATCACTGTTGTATTCATCATGATTTTGTAGTACATTTTGATGTCTAATAGGACCTATTCCTCCTCATTGAGTTTGTTTTTGTTTTTTGCTTCTGAATTTCTTGGTTGTTCTTGAGCATTATCTGTTCCCTATGACCTTGAGAATAATCTAGTTAAGCTCCACAGAAATCTTTTGGGATTTTGATTGACATGACATTGAATTGAGATTAATAGGAGGTGAATTGACAAATTAATAGCATTGAGTCATCTCAGTCAGAAGCATCAGTATGTCATGGTTTGTTTACATTGCCTCTTCACTAAAGTTTTTTTTATCGTTTTCTTCCTCTAGGTAATGTGCATTTCTTCTTAGGTTTATTTCTAGGGATTGGTTTAACTTTGGTGTGACCATGTATGAGATTTCTTTTTCCATTATGTAATTTGAATGATTATTGCTGGGTTATTGGGAGCTCTAGATCATTGTATCTGGTCAAGTTGCTGATCTGTAGTTCTGTGGTTTTTAGTTGATTATTTTATATTTCTAGATAGTTGTGTTATCTGTAAATAATGAGCTTTGGCTCTTTGTTTCCAGTATTTGAACTTCGTTTAATTTTTACTTATTGAAATGGTTAGGATCTTTGTTACAGCTGTATAGGAGCAGTGATAGCAGCCATCATGCCTTGCTCCTCTTTTTAGTGGGCTAGGTTCTGATGACATCTCCTGATAGATTCTGGCAGGTATATATTATTCAGTAGACTCCTCCATTCCTTTTCATTTCTAGCTTACTTATAAAATAATAATTTTTGTATATAAAATAAGTTAATACAAAATTTAAATACATTAACCATTTGGGGAGCTATAATTCTCTTGTATTTGTGGTAGAGAATCAGAGATCCCATAATTTTGTCAAACAAGAACCAGTGGCACAAGAAGAAATCATGAATTCTGAGAGCAAGCAAAAGAGAAGTGAAAGTTAGAAACTAGTGTTTACCTCATACTTCCTCTGTTAGAGATGTAGGTATTTCCGTATTTGTCATCTCATCGGATCACCTTGTAAAGGGGCCATCTCTAGCATTTCTGGGTTTTCCTACCTCCAGTTCTGTTTTCATATGTTATCCTATTTTACAGGAGTTACTTGGAAAAATAACATCATTTCGTGATGGACTAAATGAAATTAAAGATGAAATTGGCTGCTGTCTTGTTACTCTGATGTCCCATGGAGAAAATGGCTTTATTAAAATGAAAGATGATGAAAGAGTCAGCCTGGAAGACATTTTTGAAATGTTTAACAATAAAAATTGTCCAGCACTTCAAGAGAAACCAAAAATCTTTATAATCCAGGCCTGCAGAGGAGGTAGGTGGAGACTTCTTTGTAATAGTCCTGTTTCTAGGAAATTCTCATATTGATGATTGAGGAAAGAAAAGCAAATTAAAAAAAATTACTTATTTTAAATTAGGGGGCCCTGAGCTGATGTAACTTTAGTTGTGTAGTATACTAGGGACTTTGAGCTGGGAGGAAGGGATGGAAGAAAAACATAGGTGAGATAGAATAGTTAACTTAGGCTGAGGAAGGGTCCAAGTCACTAACTTCGTGAGGTGGGTCAGGGAACCTCAAATTCTGAGAGAGATGTGTGCAGTTTCCAGGGACATCCCACCATCATGTGATTCCAGGTGCCTTGTGGGACTAACGTCTGACTTATAAAGCTTTTGTGGCTATTTCTCTCTCTCATTGAGATACAAGCTTGTTGTGACTTTTATTAAGGGTTACTGGTGTCAGTGGTGTACTATTGTAATTTGTATTTTCATTCCTCAAAAAATAGAGAAAAGAGATAGTGGTGTCGAAACGGATGATGAACCAATGGACTCTGACGACATATCAGAGAAGAGGAGGCTGCCTACATTCAGTGATTATTTCATCATCTATCCCACCCAGGCAGGTAGGACAGTGAGGGTAGATGACAGTGAGATACACATTCTTCCAGAGGGGTTAGGTTATTCCTGATGGTTTTCTAAATCTTTAAAAAAAATTACCTGTGCTTTACGAATTGACGTATTTAAGGAGAAATGTTTATTAACCCATCCATCTCCCTTCAAAAAATGTTTCACTTTCAGAGATGGTAGGTTGGCATCTTACTATTCATGTCTTCCAGGAAGGCACCAACCTCTTAGCAAAGTATCACATGGTAAATAAGATTGTTGACTCTCATGTGAAAAAGATCCTGGACCAAAAGATCTGCCACTTGCTATCTTTGAGACCTTCAGTATTTCTTAACCTCTAGATGTGTCAGTTTAGTCATGTAAAACAAGAATGATAAAACTCACTCGTGTCATTGGGATGTTATGTAAATTAAACTATGTAATGCAGATGTTGTGCTTATCTTAATAACTGGCGTAATAAAACCAAAAAAAGAAATTAGCTACTCTTATTGCTAATATGCTAATAACATTATTATCATTATTATTACTAATACTATTACTACTAATAAGTTAAAGTCCAAAAGAATCTTGTGTACTGAAAAGGTGGACTTGATTCACTGGTGTGAAGGGAAACAGAAAAATGTAGAGAAAGTAGAAGTAAGTGGTCAAGGATGTTTATTCAGCTGTTTTTATCTTGACTTTATTTAAAAAAGATTATGATAGTTTACATATATGTATATACAATTCAAGATGAAATGTTAGTGAAGAAATGGAAGCAAAGGAAAATAAGGGCAGTAATGTAAAATGAAATATACTTAATGGTGAGACATTAAAAATGTCCCTATTGAAGTTAGATATAACATTCCACTCCTTGGTTATTTACCCAAGAGTGATGAAAGCATGTGGCCTCATAGAGACTTGCACACGAATGTTCACAGCAGCTTTATCTGCAATAGTCAAGACTGGAAACAACCCAAATGACCATCAACAGGTGAATGAATAAAAACAGATCGTGATATATCGTACATGGAATATGACTCAGCAATAAAGAAGTGAGCTCCTGATACATAATACAACGTAGATGAAGCTCAGAATAATTATGCTGACTGAAAGAAACCAGACAAAACAAAGTACATACTGTACGACTGCACAAAGGAAATTCTAGAAAATGCAAACTAATCTATAGTAACAGAAGGCAAATCAATGGTGCTTGGGGGTGGGCTGGAAGGGAAGGATTACAAAGGGGCATGAGGACATTGCGGGGAATTGATTGGTATGTTCATAATCTTGATTATGGTGATGGTTTCATGGAAGTATACATATGTGAAAACTTATTAAATTGTCTACTTAAAGTATGTACAGATGATTATCGATTATAAATTATACTTTAATAAAACTGTAAAAATGTTTAAAAGTTAGGTGTAAGACAAGCTTGCTCACTATCACCCCTACTATTTAACATGGCATGGGTGGTCCTAGCTAATACATTAAGGTAAGAAAAAGAGATAGAAGGATAAATATTCTAGAAATTATTAGTGTTGAATATAGTAGCAATAATCACTTAAAACATATAATAGAAAATAAAAAGATACCATGTTATTTTTCTTGCTTTAGTGAATGATGTCTAGAAATGACTAAAAAAAGATGAGTAAGAATTTTATTAGAGAAAATTACAAAACATTCCTAAAAGACATAAAGGAAGACTTGAATAAATGATTAGAAATACCATGTTCATGGATAGAAATTTTAATACCATAGAAATGACAGGGTTTTTTCCAAGTTAATTTATAAATTCAATTCCAAAGTGTTTTTTCATGGAATTTGACAAACTAATAATAAAATTATTATGGAACAGGTAAGGATCAGGACAAGGAGCCTTGTGCTGCAGTTTTGTTGAATGAATGAATTTTACGAGTTTGTGCTGGACTCTATGTTTGAGGGCTAGAGATTCAGTATTGAACAGAAGAGCTAAAAATCTGTCTCCACGGAGCTTATGTTCTGGTTGGGGAGACAGACAGTAAACACGGAGAGAAAATAGATATTGTGTTACTTTGTGATTCCATTTGTATAAAGTTCAAAAGCAAACAAAACTAATCTGTGATGTTAGAAGTCAGGATACTGCTTGCCCTCGGAGCTGCAGAGTGTTTGGAGTGGTGATGACCAAAGTGGGCAAGATGGAGTGCTGGTACCATCTTGTTTATTGATGAGGGTGCCAGTTATGTGAGTGTGTTCATTTTATGAAAATTTACTGAGCTATTATATGCCCTTATGCTTTGCATCCTTTTCCCTCTGATGGTTTCTCTTCAATGAAAAGTTTACCAAAAATGAAACAATGTGTTAGATGGCGATGAGTGCTATGGAGAAAAATCACGCCAGAAGAGGGAGTTGTTGAGGGGTAGGGAGTGGAGACTGTAGTTTTTAAAAACAGATGTATAGAGATGTCCCCACTGAGAAGGTGATCATTGTGTAGAGATTTGAGGGACATAAGAGAGTGAGCTATGCAGTATTTGAGAGAATTTGTCTTGTAAGGTATGAGTGCTTAGGGTAAAGAAATAACAAAAGCTCTGTGTCAGCCCACGTAGAGACAAATAGACCATTGGGGTTGAACCTAGAGGTAGAACCAAATATGTAGGGAAACCAGATATGTGACTTAAGAAGCCATTACAAATCAATGGTGAAAGAATGGGCCATTCTATAAATAGTGCTAGGAAAACTGGCTTCTCCATGGGAAAAAAATAAAAATTTATTTTCAGATTTCTTGGCATAGAGTTCATTTTATCTTTAATCACCTGAAATCTCTAACCTATCTACAGTTATGTTCTCTTCTTTATCTCTAGAGTTTGTGGCTTCCTTTTATTCTTGATCAATCTTTCCTGTGGTGTATTTAATTAAGAACCCATTTTTACTTTTGTTAATTCTCTCTAGTATATGTATGTTTTTTATTTCATTGATTTTGGCTCTTATTTCAATTTTTCTTCATTTTGGAGGGTTTATTCTACTCTGCGTTTCCTGACTATTTCAGTGCGGTACTTGGCTCCTTATTTTCTACCTTTTTAAAAAATAAGCATTTTTAAAGCTCTCGTTCCCCTCTAAGTATTGCTTTCGCTGTAACCCTTACATTTTAATGTGTCACAACCTTATCCTTCAGTTCTAAGAATTCGTAAATTTCCATTATTTTATGCATTAGTTATTGACAAATGTCTCTAAATTTCTGGTGTTGGGATTTAAAAATTTCTGCTTTTGTTATTGATGTCTATTTGTGCTGTGAACTGAGAAAGAATATCAACTGTGATACCAATTTGAAATCAGTTGAAACTTGGTTTATGTCTTGGCCTACAGTAAATTTTTAATGGCTATCGGACTATCATATTCTGTACGAGTTTAAGACTATGTGCTCTCCACTTCTCGAGTGCTGGGTTCTATAGAATTCTATGAATTAAGCTTAACTGTGTTGTTCAGATGTTTTATGTCTGTATTAAATTTGTCTGTTTGACCTGCCAACAATTGCGATAGTGTTACTGTGTCACGTTATCATGGTGGGTTTGTCAGTTTCTTCTGTAGTTCTAATGTGTATTTTTATTTTCTTTATATATTTTGAGGCAACTGTAGTAGAGGCATATGATTTTAGAACTGTTACAACTTGTGGTGAAATAAATATTTTAACTGTTGTTTGTGGACTTACTATCCCAAATAGTGGTTTTTTTGTGTTAGTTTGTTTTGTCTGATTTTAATATAGATACTCTAGTATTCTTTTGGCCCATATTTGCCTGGTATCTATTCTTTAGACCTTTTTCTTTTTACCTTTCTGGGCCCTATGTTTTAGGTGGTCTCTTTTAAACAGAATATAGTGGGGCCGGCCCCGTGGCTGAGTGGTTAAGTTTGCACACTCTGCTTTGGCGGCCCAGGGTTTCGCCAGTTCGGATCCTGGGTGCGGACATGACACCACTCATCAGGCCATGCTGAGGTGGCGTCCCACAGGCCACAGCTAGAGGGACCCACAACTAAAATATGCAACTATGTACCGGGGGCTTTGGGGAGAGAAGAAGAAAAAAAAGATTGGCAACAGATGTTAGCGCAGGTGCCAATCTTTAAAAAAAAAAAAAAGAATATAGCTGGATTGTGTTTTTTAACCCAGCTTGACATTATCTTTCTTTTTACTGGTGAGTTGGGACAATTTATCTTTATTGTGACTATTGATATATTTTCATTTTTACCACTTTGTGCTATTTGTCCTATTTTTCTTTGCCTTTTCCCTCTCCTTTATGCTCTTGCTTTTCATTGATTGTGAGTTCAGTTTGTCATTCTTCCATTTTCTCCCCTGCTCACTGGGAAGGTGTACATTCTGTATCTCTTCTTCTCATGGTTGCCCGTGAAATTTCATTCATGTGTACATGGTCTGAAGTTAATAGAAAAGCTTATTCCTCCTCCCTGATGACATGAGGAACCTTAGACACACTGTCTCACCTTCCTCCACACTTAGGCACTGCTTTAGTTTAACATTTATTTCTACCCTTTATTTTTTGTGTCTTGGTTAACATTCTTTATTTATATGAAAGTATTTATGTATTCTTAAACTCCTTCACCTTCCGCCTGATTTTCTTCTGAATTAAAACATTAATCCAACATGTTTTTATCAGATATGTTGGCAAGTACCAGGGTGGCAAGCACTATTCTAGGTAATGCCTATCCCTTTTTTAAAACTCCACAAATTAGAATGTTATTGTAATATTTTATACAGTCCATGTTTGTTTATGTTTACCCATGTAGTTAACATTTTCTTCGTTCTCTATTCCTTTCTGAATCTTAGACCATTTTTCTGGGGTCATTTCCATATATCCTTTAGAAATTCACTTAAGGAAGATTTAGGTGGTAAATTCATTTTAAACCCAAATCTGGCTGATTGTTTGACAGTATGTTTGCTTGTTCCTTCTTGTGATTCTATCTTTTATTGAAACATTTCATGCTTGGTTATTTTATATTTTGTACCTACTATTTCTAATATCGAAAGTCTTTGGGAGTC